AGGAGCTGTGACTCAAGTGATTTACATTGGGAATTAGCTAGTTTTGTAGTCATAGCAAAACTAATATAAATTAAATATTCTTAATTATTTTGGCTCTGGCTAGTAAGGGCAAAACACAAAGGCAAGATTGATGCAGGCAACCTCACAATGGCCCTACTGATTTCTCTACTGGCCCTTCCTCTGCACATGGTCAATTAGAATTGAAAATCCTGTGCTGATTTCATTCGCTGGAATTTTTAAGCAGGTCAGGAAGAAAGATGTTATTGAAAGGAAAAGTCTCATCTAAATAAGAAAGGAGCACGTGGCCATCTGGTCTAGCTATACCATGCAGAAATTCATTTACATTCGCTTGTACTCTTGATGTTTGGAAAGATGATGCTGAAAAATGAACCCCAAATCTTTTTGTAGTAAATAGTATAAATGTGTGCTTAAAGAAAGATCTAGAAAAATGCATGGCACAGTCCATTTCCTATCTGTGATGCATGAGCCCATCTGACCCCAGTGCCTCCCTGAGCTTCACTGAGGTTCTGGCCCTAAAGCTTTCAATCATTCTCAGAGTACTTTTGCTCCATGAATGTATCAACAGAGCAACTGATCTGCTGAAAGTTGTGCAAAGAATTTTGAACTGTTTCCACTTCATAAAAATCTGCATTTATACTTAAGAGGAAAATGTTAGGAAAAAAAAAGTTTCTTCACTCTCTTGACGTTCCCATGTATTCTACACACAATGCAACATTGTTTATAGTTCAAAGGAGTAGACTAAGGGGGGGGGAATCAAACTCTACTTTTAGGAAGAATCTATAAATGTGAAGTCACTTTTTAGGAACCACATGGTGAGAGTATTTGGGATGACAGGGAGAGAAGAAAACTTGGATTCGGGGATATTTCAATTCTATAAATGAGTGCAATAATTAAAGCCAGAAGTCTCTCTATATGATTAAAAATATTTTTAGTTGAGGCATGATGCACAGTAAATACACAGTGATCAAAATATTTCTTTAGCTACCCATTTAGATGTACTTCTCTGCTAAGTATAAGTTGATTTTTCTATCCAAATTTTGTTCAGCTGACATACATGGAAATTCAAACTTTAAAACCCATCTTAAAGTCTGGTTATTCTATCACATGCCAAAAATAAATAGATAAATAAACTTCCTTGCTTAAAAAACAAAAACACCACCTGCATAGCTTATGTGTATTTTTACAGGATAGCAGTTTTGCTTTAAGGAAGATGCAGAAAATAATGCACAAGGAAAAACGCATTCTAATGAAAACATATGCATTTTTATATATCCCCAATGTCACACATGCATTGGTGCATTTATCCATTAAATGATGTGTAGTCTGCCTTTTCACATGAAACATTAGCATCGTGTAAGAGCAAACTGTACTCTCATAAATTGTCCTTTCTTAGTAATGCACTGAAAAAACTATTTGTTCTTGAACTGGAGTTACATTCGTAGCCTGACTATTTCAATCAAGGCCATTATCTTCATTTCTTTGAAAGATGCCTTTTAGTAACCTGTCCCCCTACTGGGTGGCTCTGTGTGCTGTTGTCACAAAGTAGCTGAAAGTTCAGTCCTACTGTTTATCCATATTTCTTTCTTTTATAATCTAAATGAATTCTGCAGCTCTCACAGGCAGAACTTTGAGGCTTTCTTAGAAGAACTGCCCATGGAGAGATTACAAATTGAGGCCTACGCGCTTATCCGAAAAGTTACATATTAGTTCAGAGTCTTCTCACATAGAATGTCACCCAACTTGTGTGACCTGTTCTGTGCCTAAGTTCAAAATGTGTCTACTGATAAAGTTATGTCTTAGGGAATAAGCTTTTGCAACAGAAGTAATATTAAAGGGAAAAAGTATGTTTATTTTAATTTTTAAAGATCACATTAATTTGATAAAGTTGATCTTTTTAATGTATTAAAACAGTTTACAAATACTTTGAAAGTCCTATTAAATATATGCCTTTCTGCAATAAATATGCAACATAAATGATGAGATAACATTCTAACATTTAGAAATCAAATCAACTATATCCATAAATATATAATAAATATTTAGTAATTATTTTCTGGCATTTACATGTATTTCTATGAGCATGTTTGCATGTACATTGTAAAGTATTAATAAAATTCAGTGCACTTTTAGGAAAATAATATTGTGTTACACTTTTTAAAAAAATGTATTATCAAAAGACACAAGAATGCAAATGGCATCTGTAAGTTAGAAGATCCTTAAAAATGCTAGAAGATAAATATGGGAAATTTACCAGCCCACGAAAAATTTAATCCACCCACTATCCAATCAGGATATGTGCAGATAGTAAAATATATGAAATCATCATTCTTTACAACTCATTTCACATAACATTTTTCTCCCTTTATGGAAATGGCTCTTAGCAAGGTACATTTTAGAGCATTTCACAATTTGACATGGCAAGAAAAAGCAAAATCAAGTCGATAAATTTCACTGTATTTGATATCTTTTATTTCAGAAAATCTGAAAATTCTTTTTTAAACGTTTTCTTCCTATTTATGTCACTGCAGTTCAGTCCCCTCTGGAGTGGAAATGAACACTCAACCATTATATCAACAAAGCACTCTAGAACCAAGGAAGCTGCCTATCTTATTGTGACAAACATGACCATAATGCCATATGGACGCATCTTCAAGAGATGTCCAAGATTCTAATACGCTTTGCCTCTGTGTGTTGTTTAACCCCACAAGTACCTGAACTTCTTATGGGCACACACCCAACTGATGGACATCGGTGCTTAGAAATGCTTCCTACGAAGGCAAAATTTGGGGGAGTGATGACATCATCTGAAAATCTGGACACCTCTCTGATGTAACTGCATGAGTATCTAAGGGAGGGGAGGAAGGAGGGGAAGAGGACAGAGGGATGGTAGAGAAATGGAGTGTGGGAAGATAGAGGAAAGAGAGGGAAAAAATAGAAGTTGGGAGGGAGAGAGAGAGAGAGAGAGAGAGAGAGACCTTCATGCCTTCGTGAATGGCATCATCAGCTATGCTGTAATCTTCTGCAAGATTTGGAAGTCTCCCCGTTAACCTCGGACTTTTTGCAGGTTTCCTACTGCAGAGTTCATTCCAACTGTGCTTTTATAGGCAAATGATTCCTTGTGGAGCAATGTATTGATAATACTAAATAATCCAGATGTGGAATGGCATTAGGGAATTGGTTTCTAAACCAAATGAGTCAGGCGGGGGTATATGATATGTTGCATGAGTTGCTGGGTCTCTGGAGACCTGGGGAACGATGGAAAAGGGATATGTTTGGAGGGGCAATGAAAGGGTTAAAATCGAGGCTGCCCAGGGTAAGAGAAAGGGGATATTGTTGTCTTTAATCTTTCCGCAGTGTGTGTAAGACTCCCATCCCTGATCTGCACATAGCACTGGAATAGGCTTGGCATGCATTGCTGCGTGCAGGCTCCTTGATTGTAGAGAGGGGAGGGAAAAAAAAAAAAAACCTGGCTGGACTCCAGACAGGCTAGAGCTCTGTTGATCATTATGTCTAGCCTTCAGGTGTCTCAGCTCACAGTGGGCGGTGGTGGGGGGAGGTGTAGATAACATGAGGGCAGACAAAGAAAATTAAATGTTGTATTTTTAAAAGATTGTGTGAAAATTCACGTCAAAGTCCTTCTTTAAAATTAATCCTAAAGTCTCAGTGCCTCCCTCCTCTCCCCAATTAGAACACACAAGCCTCTACTGGAGCAGATTTATTTAAGCCATAATTAGGAATGTCTGGAGCCCTTCAATAATTTCCTTTATTAGTTAACATTCCTTTTTTTAAAAAAAAATCACCAAAATAACATTTTCCTTACAAAGTCTTCTTTTCTCCCCATGCTTTGTTACTGAGCAAGCCCTGATGCATCCATGAAAAACAGATTTGATTTCACCCCCCACCTCCCTCCACTACCACCCCCAGGAGATTTTCAGCATGCAACTTTTAAAAGATTTCGATGATTCTAGAAGTAAAGGCAGAATGCCCTGATATGTTACATTATCTGAGTGAAGAAGGGAAGAAGCGATAAGTGAACAGCATCTTTTACCCATTTTGTTAGATTTTCTTTTCTAAGGATAAAACCATTTGCTTTCTTTTAAAAAAATATTCTATTTGAAGTCCATAAATCTTACACGGAAAGCAACTTAGATACTAATCATATTTTTTTTTTTGCTAGCCAGTAAAGATGAAAGAGAAACCCAAAATTATTTTTCCGTCTGGCAATCTGCTGTGAAGAAGCTCTCCCTCCTCACTCCACCCTATTAGGAATTTTGGGGGGGGGGATTCTTTATACATGGAAGGCTGGAATCTGAGACATTAAAGCTGTCTCTCCAGTCTGCCATTACACTGACCAATTTCAGGCTCCTGTAGAACTGTTTGGGTTTTATTTTTTATTTTAAAAATAAGCTCTGAAACCCTTCTACAACTATAAATACTATAAAAATGGAGAGGGCGGTTAAAAAAATAAATAGAAAGCCAGCCCTGGCTTGGATCCATTGTTCAAAATTTAAGAGCTATTTGCCCCCAAGTGCCTTAGCTGTCTTTCATTGCTAATTATAATAACTGTCAGATGTCTGGAAAGTCTACAGTGCCCTTGTCAGAGGAGTCAGCAAAGTTTGTCTTTTATTTTTCTTGGGGACAGATCAAACCTGATTAGACACAGAGACCAAATAGAAAAGAACAAAATACATATGTGTCTGCCTTCGGTTTTCCTTCTGAACAAAGCGGCACATAGCTATGTTCTGCCGTGAAGCCCTCATGTAGCTACCCTAAGGGATGACTGACTTTTATTTTTTGTTCTTTTATCTTTATTAGACCAAAACAGACAACATCTGGCCAAAAATGATTTTTCTAGTAATTTGCATTCTCATTAATATCTGCAATCACAGGTAGAGGTTTTTAAAAAGTCTCATATACTTTATGCATATGGCATATAAACTATTTAAATCAGGGCACTTTATGAAAAAAATCATACTTACAATTTCAGACCGGCTAGCTGTGTGAATTTCTTGCTATTGGGTGGCAGAATTAGTCTGGTCCTTTTCTGATGCAGGTGCAGAATTCCAGTTTTTTTTTTTCTGACTAAGGAAGGCAGAAAAGTGCTTCATAAAGTCACTCCCAAGTCAGCCACTTGTGCTCAGACATCCCATTGCTTCTGTGAAAGCTGTACTATCTGCAGTTCTGAATTGAACTAAATTACAGCCCATGTGAAAGACAGGGGAAGGGAGTCATGTGGGACACACGCAGCTACCCTATTGGCCACAAAGACATAACTTAGGCATTCTGCCTTTTTCACCATTGGTTAATAGTTAAAACTGAAAGCATCTAGGTCCACCTAGTGAGCTTATTTTCCTTTATGTGTAGAAGAATGACTGTAGGATTTTACAGTGACAGAATTAGTTAAGAAAGAGACTGAAGTCATCTTTCACAGAGACTGGTGGGTGGGGATTAGAAGGCTAGGTTGTTTTTTTTTTTCAAAATATCCCCCTCCTTTCAACACACACACACACACACACACACACACACACACACACACACACACACACACACCTTCTTCTCTTCTTCTGAAGTCTTCTTGCCTGTTCTTTGCCTATCAGGAAAGCTTTCTTTTGCAATTAACTTTGTCAGTAGCAGAGAGTGAGGAAATCAGCATTATGTTGCCTTCAAAGAATTTAGTCCTAAATCGAAGTCCTCAATATTTTCAAAGGAAGTCATTTCAAATCGATCGTATTTTGATGACTTGCACTGGTTCTACCCAAGTTCCAGGCTCTGAAACTACCCTAAACTCTACTTCCTTTGTGAATAACTGTTAGTGTGCTAGAAAGTAGGAACTTTAAGCATCTTTATACTATTCTTGGATACGTACAGTGCACTAATGGCAATAGAATAATTAACCAGCCAGGGAAAACCATCAATTCTTTCATTATGGAGCAACCCTCTTCATTTGCCTGATTGGATAACATAGAATGAAACAAAATGATCTCACAGATGACACAAAAGACCTCTCCCTACCCTTTCCTTTCAATTCCCTATCTTCATTTTTTTAATGGTAGCTAAGAGTATGGGAGATATATTGTTTTACAATCTCCACACAAGACTGTAAGTTGTATAACATCCAATAAACTTCAAGGGTTTGTATGTGTCTTGTTGTTGCTGCTGCTGCTGGTGGTATTTTGTTTTTTGTTTGTTTGTTTTTACAAATCATGACGCAGCAGACATACTTGTCTTCTGTACAAACTTATTTTCAGAGTCACACATAAACTAAATGCACATGTCTGTGTCTTGGAGAAGGGTTTACCATACCAGCAGTACTCTCCCATAGAACCAAGTCAGGATTTTCTCCATGGCTTTTTGAATTTACATATTTCAGCATAACTATAATAATGTGATTTAGAATAAGGTACATTGAGCTGATTGTGAATAGCGGATTGTAGAAACTGCTCCTGGGACCGAGATTATTCAGATATTCAGATAGGCTGCCTACCTGAATCTCTCTGAGATTATTAGTATTTAACCAGAAAATGAAGAGAGTAGCCATGGCTATGGACTGCAATGGCAGCTGTCATGTCACAGGGTAGTGTATGTTTTCTGTGATATGAGAAATTTGGGACATGCTTGGTGTTATGCTGTTTTTTCCTAGCAGATTCAGAGGTAGCATTATTTTTCTGGCATACATGATTGTTCTCTGGATGTGGTTAGTGCTTAAATTAAATTAAATTACGGGAAAAAGAGCGAGTTTACCTTCAGAGTCTTTTTCATCTCTTCTTTCTTGATCATATCCCCACATCATGATATTACCTCACCTTAGTTACCCACTGTCCTCAAGGTAACAACTGAGTCCCTGGAGTTCCTCCCCACAGTGTCTCTAGATATCTAATCTATGCTTCCCAGGAGACACTCACACACTAGGATTATTGCTTCCTCTTCACTCCACCCCACCCTCCCTGTTCCTCAACTATATTGTAGGGGATCTTGAGCACTGTGGGTTATACATCACTGTATCCTTTTGAGGGGCAAGGACAGCACTTTGCATATGATAAGCACTCAATAAATGCTTGTTGAATGAATGAATGGATTCCATTAGTGATCTGCTCATAGTGTGGAAAGCAATCTGGTAAACTAACTGACAATAATGTCAGGTTCCAGCCCTGCTGGTGATGAGAAGCAATTAATAGGCTTAAAGTGGAACAATCCTTCTTTGAGGGGGGAAAGGTATGGTCCAAGCCATGGTTCAAAAGGGTAAACAGAATCTCAAGGCAAGGCCTAGCCAAAGAGTTCACTGGGACAAAAAGATTAATGTCAACAGGCAGGAGCTGTAAAACCAAGGCTGAGCACCAATATGAAATCAACAAAAATCTATGAAGGTAAGGAATGACAAGAAGCAGTAGATGGTTGTCTCCCACTGAAAATATCCCCTCCTCCACTCCGCACAGTATCCTTTCATGAGCAGTTTGCTGTCAGCTTCCAACCTCAAACCCCATCCCCAATTGGTGTATTGGGTCCACCATGGACCAAAACAAAACAAAACAAAAAAAATCTCTGAAAAAATAGCTCTTGGGAATATTTGCACTTTAAAGAAAGAAAGTGCTTTCAGAAGGAAAGAATTTAAACCAAAATAACATATCTCTAATGGTAGAATTTCAGACATAAGAGTAGATAAATAAGTGAGATGTTTGGGACAGGAGAACCTCCCCATAGTCTTTCATAAATCATATAAAATAAACCTCCAACTGCTCTGCCTATACAGTTCATGACAGTTTCATGGCTAAAACAGATTTATATTTCCTCATGTCATACTTCTGAGAAGGGGCAGTATCTGGTGGTATAATGGAAAGAGTAGTAGACTAGGAGTCAGGAAGATATAGGTTCAAATTCCGTCTTTGATATTTTTTAGTGGTGTAACCTTGGCTAAATCACTTCATTTCAAAGCCTCAGTTTCCTCATTCATAGAAAGGGAATTACTCTTCAATTTACACTCTGCTTTGGATAGCTTATATACTTTAGTAATCATAAGACTTCGATAGACTTACAACTTCATGGTTTACGCCTCATTTCATATTTATTGAATCAGAGAGTGAGTAAATAAAGTTTTCTCTTTCCTTACATCTTGAACAAATCTTGAATGATTTTGACATATGAAGAGGTTACCTTTGCGTATGGAAAGAGCTTTTAGGTAGCATTCTATTCTATCAAATCATACTGGGTTTTTTTTCCTATTAAAAATTAGCATGGTGGGTCTTTCATTCACTATACCTTTCAGTCAATTAAGGGATTATAAAGATGTGGTCACTGTAGCATAGCATTTGTGAAAGCCTTCCTGTTGCCTTCTAATGTCTCAATTAAGGCTACTTTTAATGTGTGTGTAGAATCATCCTACATAAAATTGCCATATTGGTTTTTCTAAAGCACAAGCCTGACCATGTTCCTGTCTTGCTTAAGATAATGTTAAGTCAACAAGTATTTGTTAAATACCTATTATGATACATAGTTGGTAACATGTTGTCTTTCCTATTAGAACGTGAGCTCCTTCTTTGCTTAATAGTTGTTTATTGAATAAATTGTCTAATGCTAGGACCACATATGAAATTTTTCCGGTGTGGTAGGACTTTGAGGTCCCTTCAAATAGTCTTTGAGAACCCAGAACTTTCTGTATTACACAAGAAGGCATCAGAGGAGGACTTTGTGGCAGTTCTTACAAGCAGCAGTCACTTAATAAGTGCTCAGAATGAATTCAATTGGTTTGTATCTCTGTGGTCAATGATCCAAAGTTGCTTGCTGCTCCAGAAATCCATTCCTTGAAAGCCAATATTCACCTTGGAATCCTCTATGGCTAAGTACCATGAGGAGCCATCATCCCAGAAGAATCAACATTGTTAGTGACTCAACAGGCAATAGAAATATGTCAGGTAAAAGTTAGCTGAATCAAATTATCTGTGATAATTTTTACGTGAGAAATGATATAAAATCACCATGGATATGCATGATGAAAAAAGGTAGCGTGGCCATGTAATGTTAAAAGACAAGAGACAGTGAGCCCAAATTCTACCATGGTATCCTCCAGAGAGCAAACGAATGAGAAGAAAACCTCCAAACAAACCCTCTGTGGAGAATTTGAAGCACCAGGATGGGAAGTCATGAAGATATTGCAATGGACCTTGATGAACTAAGTGTAACCACTGGCAAGATTGAAATCTAAGTGCTCTAGTAGATAGGCCTAGGCTGGCCTTTGTCATATTTAAATGCGCTCTTGAAGTCCCAAATAACTGGGAGGTTCCTCTTTGGTACCTCTATGGGTGTGTACAAATATGTGGCAGGATATGTGTCTGTGCGTCCTGCACTATGCTGGGCCTATGATTAAATACTGACTTGACTCGACCACCATAAGCTTACAGAAATTAGCTTCAGGCAGCAGATATGTCCATTCTGATAATAACTTAGTTGTAGGAAATCATGAAGAGATTCAGCAGTAGTTCATCATTATTGTACTGAGTATTTAAAGTTAAGGATTAGTTAGGGAGAACTGTTGATCAATTATTTTTAAATAAAATGCAGGGTATTAAATTATATGATTCATAGGTATTCATCAGTTCAAAAAACAATATAATGTTTTATTATAAACTTATAATTCTGAATATTCTATAATTCCATTATTTTACTATCTGTTATTTGTTGGTTAACACTTCAAGATATTGTTTTCAATTATTTGACTTACATGCTGATTTTCTGGGAGAAAATAGACACTTGAATTAGTATAATGTCTTGGTTCTGAGACAAAGGCTAAATACAGTTATGTCATCCCATGTATAAGTAATAGAAAGCAGGCAATTTGTTTGGACTAGAGAATGTGTGAATGTATAATAAACCTGGAAAAGTATGTTGGAGCTAGGTAGGTTATGCCAAAATGAGAAGTTTTATTTTATTCTTAAGGTAATTGGGAACCAATTGAGTTAATTGAGCAGGAGTGCCCTGTGGTGAGCATATGGGCAGAATCATGCTTATAGGAATATCACTTTGGGAGCTAATTGAAGAATAGGTAGGAGACAAAAAAGACCTGAGACATGGAGATAAATTAAAAGGGTATTGTCACATAGTTTGGGCAAGTGCTGATGAAGGCCTGAACTGGAGTCAGGACTTGGGGCAGCCATCTAAGCATAGATAAATGGACCTTCAAAGTATTTGGTTATTA